TGCCAATGTGCATTGGCTCGTTTAGTTTACACTCGAAGTAGATTGGTCTCTCTAAGCGAGATCCCAATTCGTCGGTCATATGACGTGACGTCTCCGTTCCCTCCTTCAGGGAACGAGGGTTACCTACCATACGTAACCGAGACGTTTCTTGAGCAGCATCACATGACACTGAAAACTGAAGTAATGCCTGCTGTAAATTCAGCTTTGCCATTTTTGGAATAAATTATATTTTAACATATATTAAAATAGACAACAGTTATTTTAGATTGTAATAATTTTACAATTTTTGATCAAATAAATGCATCTTTGGTAACCATAAACACTTATTTTGGCATACAAAAAATGTAATACAATATGGAAAATATACAGTACAATATTACTGACTGTAATTTGCTCACTCTCCATACCACACAAAGTCGACTTGCTTTTTAACATAATATAATTACTACAAAAATAAGGAGTGTTGCCCTTGGGGCTAAATGGATCCTTCTTTGTGGCTCTTGAGCTTTTGAACGTTGAGTAGCCCTGATTTATACCATTTCTGATTGCTAATTGGATTTCTTACAAAGAGTTTTTTTTTTTCTCCATTGCATTCTGCATGTTGTGGAGGAGTGTATCTTCTTTGCACTGACACATAAAAAAGTTAAAGACAAGGTCGAGCAGAAGCATGAAAAAGTACAAATAAATGAATCCAGTTTTCAGACTGTTAAAAAGTCCCCAGGGCGATGGGTAACTTAATGATTGAGAGTTAAAAGGAAAAAGACGATGTGAAAAGGTTAACCCATAGAAATCGCAATGGAAGATTACGCAACATTGTTTTATATATTTGTGTTTTGTTTCATTTTAACTCAAAAATGTATTCAATTACGGCCAGAATGTGTGTGTGCAAGGGCACTTGAGCTAATGAAACAGTTTACAGCCCGATATCTTGAAAGGGAGGCAGAGTGGCGACTCGTGAGTCTCATGGCTCGACGCTCTTTTTAATAAGCTGCATGTACTCGTAGGCTTTGGACCATCAACTCCCACTTAAAAAGTCACACTCTCTTTTTCATCCTTTCTTCTTGTCTTCCTCTTACACACTGGGAAGGCTAAATTACTGCCACTATTTGCAATTTACTGCTGACCTTGGAGTGTGTTATGCTGATCTCACAACACGTGTTTTTAAACCATTTAAGCTCCAGTGACATTCACTGTCTTACCTTAGACCAATTCACCCGCTTCATGACGCTCTCAGGTTTGTAGGTCTTCTTGGGCAGCAGCCCGTAAGGCAGCTGGACAACGAACGGAGGAGGAGCCAAAGGCATACCCGGTGGTGGGGGAGGGCCTCCTCCAGGAGGTGGAGGTGGTGGTGGAGGTCCGCAGCCAGGTGGAGGTGGAGGAGGTGGAGGTCCTAGAGATGCAGGAAAAGGAGGAGGTGGAGGAGGTGGTGGTATACCTCCACTTGGTGGTGGTGGAGGAGGCAGAGGTACAATTCCTCCTGGTGGTGGCAGTGCTGGAGGAACAGCACCGGCTGCTTCAGGTCCTGCTGCAACCTGTGAAGGGTTTAAAAAGAGTGAGAGTCAAGAAAAGGCCATTTTAAGAGACCACTGTGAGCCAAACATTCACCTCAACCACTCCTGTTCAGCCTCTACACCCAAAGGCCCATGCTTTTATCACCATTACATGTTTTATCCCATCAGAACTAGCGGGTGAGACAAGGGCAAAGGAGAGTGGAGGATAAAAGACAGTGCTTACAGCAGCTGACTTTTCAATTATAGGAGAGTGCATTAAAACAAGTCTAAAAATCAGAGAAAGTGAGAGAGAGGGGGAGAGATAGGGTTGAAGGGGCTCCTCGCATGCATTAAATAAGAGTTGATAAAAGCAGATGGATGACTTGGGGCTGCTGTGGCCTTCCCTCCGGGCACCGGTTCCCTCAGCAGCACTGAGCATCTGCCTTTCTAGTGCGCAGAGCACCGCCTCTTGAGAGCCAAGTAGGGGCCAGCGCACAGAGGAGCCAGAGCCCACCGCCCGATCCTCTCACTGGGGAAACTGGGACACGGTAATTCCTGAGGGGCAGGTAGTCACATTGAATATGTAAATAAATAAACGGCAGGTCGGTCGATGTGACTGGTAGACTCTTTTGGAATGTACACACCTGTCAAGTGTTTGGGCTCTCAGAGGAGCAATTTGACAAGTGCTGCACGAGTGGTAAAGTGAATGTGTGTGTGAGTCTACGTGTGTATGTGATTGAATGGTTATCTGGGTGGAGACTGGAGGGTTTTTTCATTCAGTGTATCCCGTAGAACAGAGTCCAAAAGTAACACTCGCCTGGTGCCAAACGCACGTACAAACTTGATTTGGTGAGCAATTAAAATGTGAGAAGCTGTACGAAGTAAAAAGGGATGAATAAAAACATATACTAAAGAATACATGCCTCAAATTAACATTTTGACAAAAACGTGTAATTATCAATTATATATCAATTATTTAATGTCTTTAAAAATAGTCTTTATTTAATTTTGTCTGCAACTCCATGTGCCAATATAAATGTGGAAAATAAAGCAAATATGAAGAAAAGTGAGATCGATCAATCAATCAATCGCTTTTTTCTTAATAATAATGTTTATTATTATTATTATTTAGATTTAAAATATTATATAACTATTACAAGGTCGGGGGGCTGCTTTGAAAAATTTTTTTTTTCTGAAAGTAATTTTCAGATGCAACGGGGGGGAAAACGGGATAAACACAAACATGAAACTTGTAAATAAAATAATCTGATATATAGCCTATGTACAATTTAATAACATATAGCCGAGTTTGATATTGGAATTGGGTGTTCGTCAAAGATTGCATGCGGTCGGAGATTCCCGTGTTTACAGCTCCGTAAAATAACCTACTGGAAGCTCTGTAGTTTTGCTGTATAGGCCTATAGATAAAAATATTTAAATTACAAACACACAATAACATTTTAAGTTACTTCCATTTCTGAAAAAACGAATGTAGGCCTAGTAATTGATGTTATAAATACACACGCCTGATTTTTGTTTTAATTATCCATCGTACATAAAAAAACAACAAAAAACATTTGCAATCAAGACAAAAAAGCCAGAAGTGAATGTAAACCAGATTTGGCCCAGACTCTGTTGCTATCTGTGAAGCCAAGCATAAGAATAGCCTACTAATGTACATTTGTTAACCCACAGTAACAAATTTTAACAGATTAATCGCATATTTTCGTTTGCTGCATGCTTTTAAAAACACAATAAAAAAATATTGTTTTTTTTTTTGAGGAAAAAAAAAAGATATCTCGTATAAGTTGCATTTTCAGAAATAATAACGGCAGGCCTAATAATGTTATAATGTACCAACATTATGAACACTATAGGATATTTTAGTTCCCCTCACTTTACAACAAATCCTTTAAATTTAACCGTATCAGAACAGAATAAGACTTTAAAAAGATATAATTCTAATGGATAAATATAATTGCAGTATATAATAATATATGCTTAGCAATAAACATGCCAAAACAAATTAATTTATAAAGAAACGTAAGGTAAAGTTGGGCTTACCTCTCTCAGGCACAAATCCAAATGTGTCCATATTCGCGATGTAGCTGAAGCTAAACTATTAGCCTTATTAGGTAAAACAGGCTTTGTAGCTCACGCGTGTTCCATCCAGTATTGACGGAAAAATATCATAATGAGTAAAAATATGCCACAGTGGACCGGGTCTCACGCCGAACGACACGGTGAACGGCTGTGCTGTTTCCAATGAATGCTAAGCGCGATCAAACAGCTGAAACATAAAACAGACTACTCCGTAAGTTTTGGTCATACAATAAAGGCATAATTCAAAACTGCAAAACAGCCGACGCTGCACTATTACATAACTATGGAAAAACATAAAATAATCCACAATATGCATTAGGTCGGGCAAGAGTTAATTGTGGACCCTATTGCAGGAAATGTTCAGTACACAGAAAACAAAATACTGAGATAAAGAAGATGAGATTAAGCTTAACTCTGGGTAGCATCAGGAATTATAGAGCAGCATATAACCCATTTCTATGGGCCTCGTAGGATTCTAGTAAACTGGACTCACAGTTTCAGATTAGCAGCAGAGAATAAAAAAGCGACTGACACTGAAGGCATAGCTCAAAAGAAACAAACATGGTGAAGTTTATGATGATCATCTGTTATTGTTTTTAAGACGTAATGACATAAGCGTTCATTCGTTCCATATGGAACATACTTAACTATGATTACACCGAATGACAAGATGACACTATCGATATTTGTTTGCGGATGAAATATGGAAAGCGCTTTGTGTAGACTGATTCATCACGTTTAATCATAAAGCATAACAGATGAGAGTAACCCATTAGACTTGATTAACATGTAAATTGCCTCTGTAATTTGCTAATAGATTGAGCGTATGAATAGGATGCAGCCACCTGAACCTTTAGCAGTAATGAGAAGAGTAATCGGGCTTGAACGCTCATGCAACTGGTGGCGGCAGGCAGTCGACCTCTCTGCTCCATCCTCTAGATCTTTAACCTTGAGCCACAATCCACAGGGTTTTTAGCCAAATACATGTTTCTTTTTCTTTATTGGGCCTTTTTTTTTTCTTCCCTGACTTTCCTAGTAACTGCAGATAACTGAAGCTCACAAGATGGTCTCCAGGAAGAGAAGCCATTATGGAGGAGTCAGGGCTCAATTCATCCAGTAACTGATAAGACTGAGGGCGGTAATGTCCTGACAAATCAATCTCACTTTGCTCGCAACAGAATAAACAGGTATTTTGAATCATTGATCACTTTTCTTTTCAAAAGTTACTTTGTGCCTCATTCTCATCACTGCTTAGTGAAAAAGTATATATATTTTTCATTTTCTAAAGCAATTCCCCTCTCTGTGCTCCAGCCTCAGTTCAGTTGATTAGGACAATGCACATTTTTATATGCAATACCGAGTGTTTGATTACACAATGCAGGCAGTGGATTGTTTATTAGAGGGGAAATTAAAAAGATGTAGGAGCATCATGCAGAAAGCTGTGGTCCCTTGACGAGTACCCTGTCCCACGATTATGCGTCTGTCAATCTCCGGCCAGTTGTGACCCATTTTCTCTTTTAAGTTTAATACAAGAGAATGGCAAGCAAATTAGCTGCTAAATTAGAGCACCGTCATTTCCGCATTGCTTTGGCCCTCTGTGGCAGCGTGCGGCTTGCTGCAGACCCTCCAGCCACGGTTCTGGAATGCTAATCAGCCTCCAGCACACAATTTTCTCTAGACATATCCCTTATTCTCTTTAAACAATATCCATCATTTAGACCAATTTTACAACCAAAACCCATTTTACACAGGAAAATGTTTCATTTAAGGCTCCTTTCCCCTCTGTTTTCATTCTGGCTTCTTATCTTGCTTTAAAAAGCAATTTACGACCAGAAAGTCTGGTTTGATAAAGGTCTAAGATGGCCACTGACCTGAATTTTCTGGCCGTCTCCCATACCATTCAGCTGCACTAATTAGCAGTCAGCATGTCTAAAACTATCTGTTATAAATGGACAGGACAATATCAAGACAAGCATCCATTTACACTCTCAACGGGTGGGAGGGCACTCTTGGTAGAAACAGCCACAGTTTGGGTAATTAACTAGGGCTAACACACAATTAAACCATCCCAATCTCATCTCTGATGAGCAAGAGGCAATTTCAATTAGATTCAGTTACTACTGAGGGTTACAATACTCTAGTTAAATGAAAAGATGGGGTTTCATTTTCCCTTCCAGCTGGAACTGGCACTGGGAGCCTGTTCCATCATGCTCCTGTAGCTCACGCGGAAGAGAACAATGCTAGCAACCCAAAAGTAAGGGTTCACTTCCCAGGGAACAGACAAACTGCTTGCTACATTTACTTTCTAGCTTCTAAGAACTGGAAGTATTCACAGTATAGAGATTGTGTTTGGTAAGATTCACCATTACAAGCTGCTTATATGCTGGATATGTGGTAAGGATTATGGCCTAATTCTGTAGCATGCATTTGTAATGAATGATTGCACAGCATCTGTTGAGAGTCTGGAGACAATACAGAAAATCAAGACTCTGGATGATCAGTGAGAGGTAACAGCTTTGATCAACCTGTTAGAAGGTATAAAAAAATGCTGATTTTCAAAGATGCTGGCGGGCGGCTGCATTGAGCATGCTGGGAAGGCGGAGGGAAGGGTTGGGAGAACACCCACCTTGCTGTTTCTTTCGCTGATGCTTTTCTCTGCCTCTCTTAGCTTGTCTCTCTCACTAATCAACTGGACAGGTGAGGGACAGACAGACAGACACATAGAGAAACAGAGCAATGGTAAGGCAAAGAGAGATTGCATAGCTGGAAGCGGAGAATAAAGCAAAAGCCAACTGCCAACATTACTGAAGGTCACATGGCAATAAAACTTGGGGACAGCAAGAAATTGGATGCAAGCAGCCTACTTGAACATTATCAAAACACTGTTTGCCTACTAATGAAGTAATACAGGATTTCATTAGCAGTTGTTGTGAGCTTTGCAGGAGTGAATTCATAAATTAAGAACATCATTAAACACCCTCACACAGTTCCAGTTCTAGACAAAATTGAGTGCAACAGTGCCACCCACTTTTTCAGCGGACTTGGTTCCAGAATTATTTTGCCCATAGAGATTTTTTAAAAAGTCTTTATTAAAGAGTTAAAGTGCTTTATGGGAATGGGTGGGTGTCTCGATTTACTTGATTTAATTAATTTGATTTCAAGTTATTAAAAATCAATTCCGCTATGGAGAAAATTACTATGATTTTTACTTCTGGAACGCGACTGTTGCACTCTATTGGCTCCAGTCATTTCCATGATGCTTTTGTTCCAATAACGTCCATTTTAAAGGAAAGTTCAAGGCATAATAGTTGGGAATGCAGTAAATTGATTGTTGTGCATCTTTTAAAGTTGCTTCTGGAATCCTGTTCTTTCAAGTCCTTCCTTTCAATGCCTTATGACACGCTCAGTGAATTTAGCGCAAGCACTTAGAATCAGTGATGCTTTACTCCCGCTTTGACCTTGCTATGAGCAGCCTCTTTAAAAAAAAAGAAAAGGGTTAAAATCTTAACAGCCTCTTTTCATTCAGAGGAAGCATACACTTCTGCCTCTAAATTACACTTATAAGGTGCAGTTTCCCCATACTGCACGTAGGGCAGAATCAAATATTAAAGACATGTAATGGAAAAGAAGATGGATACTTCAATGGTGAAGACTGTGAAAAACGTATCACATTTGAAATGCTGTCCTTGCTTGTAGTGTTTAGTAAGCTTTGTTTTTGTTTTATTTAATCTTTATTTATTTTTGACAATATAAAGGGCAGAACAGCAGTCAACACACTGAAAATTGTCAAGAAGAAGAACAGCAGCATCTTCATAGTCCTTGTGATCGTTTCCTCAAAGACAGAGAGAAAGAGGGATGGCACACATGCACTGCATCTCAAACGAATCAGCCTGTAAAGCTGAATGGCCGAGCTGTGTCCCCTGTTACTGACCATGGCAACAGCGCAGGGCACATGGCAACCAGCTCTATGATTCAAGTGAAGTGCTGTCCTTATCGGCATTATTACTGCCAGACTTTTTGCCAAATCCATCCCGGCAGTGGCTATAAGACACAGGTCCAGCCCTGCACTGCACCGCAATGTTACGAGTCCCATGTTGGTCCAGACAGCTGACAACAGAGCTTTTTGAAACGTATGAGGTGCTGCAAAAGATTTCTCCTTTAGTATCACTTGGATTCTGAATTATTAAACGAGCTACCATTTGATTCCACACCTTTGACTCTACAGTGGGTATAGAAAAGAATCACCCCCCTTTAAAATAATCACATTTTGTTGCTTTGCAACCTGAAATGAAGACGGACAAAGTTTTTGTTTTATCCAGCTGTATTTACTCAGTGCAACTTATAACATCCAAGTGAAAGATATAACACCAACATGTCAGGAAAAAATAAAAAATAAAAATAAAAAAACTAGAATCATTGAGTTGGAAAAATGATCACCCCCTTGTGTCGGCATTTTGTTGAACCACCTTTTGCTTTAATTACAGCCTTTAGTCTCACCCCTATAACATGATATTACACCTCCATGCTTTACTGTAGGAATGCTGTTATTTGAATGGTGAGCTATATTGGATGCTTGGTGTTGAGGCCAAATAATTCAATTTTAGTCTCACGTGGCCTCAAGAATCTTCAAGGTGCGTTTTGGCAAAGCTCAGTCGTGACTGCATGTACACATTTGCAGTTGTACACAATATACATTTCTTGCAACCCTCCATACAAGCTACATTTGTGGAGAATATGTGATGTTGTTGTCGCATGCACACAAAGATCCTTTTTTCCAACTCAGTGATTCTATTTTTTTATTTATTATCATTTTTTTATGACATGTTGGTGTTATATCTTTCACTTGGATGTTATAAGTTGCTCTGAGTAAATACAGCTGGATAAAACAAAAACTGTGTCCGTCTTCATTTCAGGCTGCAAAGCAACAAAATGTGATTATTGGGGGGGTGATTCTTTTCTATACCCACTGTATTCTCTTTCTGTTGAATGTCCAAGAGAGAAGAGACAAGGGACCCTTGCAGGAGGCCTAATAACGTATGCACTCTCATTATCTCTTAAAAATACATACATTAAAAGTGCAAAGCTCTTTTATTATTTTATTCTTTCCATTTCACATTCAGTCTGTCTGAAATGTTCTGTATTAAAGCTTTCATGAGCTCATCCGACTATTATTTTCGCATGAGCTGTTGTGTTAGTTCCTCTGAATAATGGCTCTCTTCAATTATGTGTTAAAGGCAAATCTGTTGTCTGTGCATATCTTTGCTGACATCTCTTTGTCGTCCTTAAACCTCGGTCACCCTAATGGCACAAAATAATGTGAAAATGTCTGATATTCATGCTATACCGCTCAAAACTCTTGAAATGTACATCATACTGCAACCTACTGAGGCTTATTTTAGAGACAATGATTATCAAAAAGAGGTAAAATATGGAGACAGGCTTTTTGAAGAGTTGACCTTACGTTTCAGTGCATGGTTGTAGTTTTATGCTTTTGTTATTATACAATATAATAAAAAATATTAGTAGTAGTGGGAGAAGAGTTTTACACTGGCTGTCTAATAACGGGTACAATTTGTCAGCTTTGCGCATGACAACCTATGAGTTTACATCCCTTTCAGATGTGCCAAAACACCCACAGGATATGTGCAACACTCTCATCCTAATATCCTGGTGCTTCTTTAGTGAGCGCATTATATGTTCTCTACCAGAAGCACCAGAAGTCTGTTGATGTGAGAATGTTCTGGATCCAAAGCTTTGAATATGCCTTTAGAGTGCACATTTGATAAGAGTATGCATCTCAAGGGCTCCGCTTCACTCCTCTACCTGTTAATGTGCTGGAGATGACTGAGCTTCAAAGAGAACGAGATTGCCTTGGGGTAAGACTGAAGGACACCCAGGGAAAAACAACAGCCAAATGACACTCTGGTCCAGGAAAGCAAAGCAGGAGAGCAGGTGAGAAGTCATTAATGGGGTTGCGGTGTCCGTGAGGAGGGACACATTGGGTGCACGCAATATGGCTCGGCATGAATGAGTGTAGAAAAGGAGGGATGATGGTGACTGATGAGGAGCAGAGCACAGAGAGGCCTGGGCTCATGAATATGTGTAAGAGTTGAGAAAGTGATGGATGAGGCAGATGGAGGGAGGGAGTCAAAGTGGCTAACGTTCTGTGATTCGGCTCCTGAGGCAGATGAAGTGCAGGGCTGAGGACTGCACAAAAATGAAGTGTCGGGCTCTGAGAAGCTCCCCTTTGCACAGGGAGGAACCCATTCCAGCTCCGCCTCCACTAATGTGCCCATTTGGTAAATTCGTGAGAATGAATGGTGATCCAAGCTGCCAGGGTCCTTAATGACAGCAACTCATCTCGTTTGAAGGTGGGGAGGCTGTTGTTGGGAGAAGCTGGGGGCAATAGGGCTTGGATGTGCTGAGAGATAAAGTAAACAGAAAGACAAAGTGCTGGCTTTTCCGACTGCAATATATTTGGTTTCTGGAAAACTATTTACACCATGGAAGGCTCTTCACAAATGGTGAGATTTTTTTCCTCCTATTAAACTCCATAAGCTAGCAAGCAAGCTACTTCTTTTGTCCCAAGGCAGCACTAAAATCTAAAATGTTTCAAATTGGGTTTGGTAGGAAATAGAAGTCATTTTGCGGGAGAAGAACTAAGTTTTTTATTGACAGGAACGATGATGTGAAAGCCAAAGACGTAACGCAATCCCTCACAGCGTTGATACAATAGTTAGGAACAGGCTGCGATGGAGCAATTGAGAAAAATCTAATCCAACCATTTGAGGGGGAGATTGGCCCTTTATTAAATCATACAATCCCCCAAGTCTTAAAATACCCACTTAGAGCACCACTGCATTCACGATACAAGATAAAAAGGTTTCAATTTGACCGAATTAACAGAGTCTCTCCCTTCGCCGCCACATTAGAAGTTGCATTACCATTCGAAGCAGACAGAGAAAAACTGCTTCATATGACCTCACAACACAGAAAGTAAGTACTAGTGAACCTAATGTGCTTGTATAGCTCATTTTTAGGGCATTTGATGTATAGCTCATTTTCAGGGCTCTGAGCGTCAAGAAGGTTTTTTGATGGAGACAAATAATTTAATGCCTGGTAGTCTAATAGCCATGGGAGAATAGTTGTGAGGTGAAGAAAGGCAGTCTGGAAACCAAAAAAGTAGGCGTGTTGCTTCACGGATCTATAGGATAAAGGGCTCTTCTAAGGCAATGTGAACCACAAAGCTCTCATGAGGGAAGATAAGAGAAACCTCATCGGTGGTAGCTCCAATTAGTGTTTAGTTTGATACCCTTGGGTAGAGAGCGCAGAGCATCTGAATTGGACATATCTATGGGGCTGCTTGTGAACCTAAAGTGGTGATGAGGGAGAGAAGAGGTTATGGTGCAAGTGTTATTACCTGGGCCTGCAGGGTGTTGATCTGAGACTCTAGCTCTTTGATTTTCTCCTCCTGCTTCTGCAGCTCAGCCTGTGCTTCCTGCCGTGCGCTGAACTCCTCGTCGAACTGAAGACAATAACGCACACACAAAAACATTGATGTAACTATGCGGATTCCATCAACCACAGGACACATCAACAAATTCAGCATAACTCTCCACCTTCATTATCATCATCAACATCTTGATCCAAGGTTAAGATTTTACTAGTCTCATTCACTTATAAACTTGGCACTGAACAGCGTCTTGTTGTCTTTGGAGCATCTTTATCGTTTGGTTTCTGCGTAAACCTGCATTTGCCTCTCTCGTTATTTACATTACATGTGCGAATTGGTGGGCGGGGCTAAACAGGCAGTGATGTAGAAGCAGGCGTTGATCATCTTCTGAGGAGGCTGTGTTTAGCCACTATTACGTCATAAAGTGGCACATTACACACATAACCTGTCGTTTTGGCAGATTGGCTTCAATATAAGCTGTTTTTAGACTAATGAGAAAGTTTTGATTTCTGAAACTTACAGCATGTTTTTATAGTACAATGACCTCTTTTACAGGTATGTCAAAAGACCAAGGGAATTTTGATTTCTCAGTTCAATTTGATTTCTCCTTTAAACGGATCAAATGTCACAGTAAAGACATTTACATTATTTACTTGAAATATAAATCTTTTATAATGTTCTTTTGAGCTTTCTATTCATAAAAAAAATCGGAATAAATGTATCAAAATGTTTTCGCAAAAATATTAGGCAACATTATTCGGTAATAAATATTATAATAAAAACAAAACTGTTGTTTTAAATGCTAATAATAGTCCACAATATTACTGTTTTCACTAATTACATTTTTTATCAAAATAAATGCAACATTGGTGAGAATGAGACTTTCAAAAACATTTTAAAAAATCTTGCCATGCACAAACTTTTGATTGGACAATAATGTGTATATAAATATTAGATACATTATATACTATTAACTTTATATGTATGCATTAAAAATGACATTCAGCATTGGTACACAGCTGCAAACACAAGCATACACACAGTTAGTGAGTGAGACCCAATGTTTTCAGTTACCCAGTAGTATTTGTGTTACTTTGCCATTAAATTGCAAGCCTCAGATGTCTGGCTGACATTTGGCAGACTTGGGCAGGAAGCGGAGCAAGAGCATGGATACACTCTCAAAGCATCATGGGATACAACTCTTGGCTTCACTGACAACACCAGCAAGTGTTAGCTCAGCATCCTTACGAACCTCCAATGTATTAACTAAAAAAAAATATTACAATATTGTTCATTGGGGCCTTTAACACTATTTGAAATGATGCCTGTAAATAGTGTTCCCAGTATGGCACAAGCAAGCTTGTAGATTGGAGCATCAGCATTGATTCTGCTTGCACTGATACACATCATGTTGCTCTGCTGCCAGCTATTGATCAGACGAGAACAATCAATGTGCTGTCTCACTGCTCATGGGAGAAAAGTTTGGTGACAGCAGCCTGGATGCATACCAATAGCAACACACAGGGTGATTAATAGACTCACCTTTTTGGAGAATTCAGTCGCTCTCTGTTCACTCTCTTCCACTTTGGCTTTATCCACACACTGATCTGTCATACAGTGTACCGGGTACATGAAAACGCACAAAACACACAAGTATATGTAAATTACAAGGTGCAATGTTAACACAATGCTTAAGATTCCACATCAGACACAGAATGAAGACAATCAAAAGAACAAAAAAGCAAACAGAATAAAATGAACCTGTCAGTGTCTCATTCCCCCCTCCCCTCTGGAGATTTGTATTCTGTTCTGGAGGTTTGAGATGTACATTTAAAAATGGCGCCCCACATAATCTGTTTTCAACTCATTAAAGTAAGGCAATTTTTTTGTTTCTGCAGATGGGTCTGAAAACTTTTAATGAGACTTTGTTGGAAAGTTACGAAAGTGTTAGTGACAAAACACAAAAGGGGAGGGCAAAGAAGAAGAAAAAAAAGAAAGAATAAAAATTTACTTCACCCTTATTTTATTAATTCCTTTGGTGTCCAAGAACCTGGATGACAAAACAATTGGCAACAAATTCTCCCCCCCACCCCCAAAATTTAATCATAAAACAAATGAAAAAAGTCCAGGACTGCAAATATAACTGGTACAGCTGAAGTCGTGTTGCGTTTATAAGACATGACATGCCAGCCAGGTTTTGCAGATAATGTTTTATTTATGCATAATGAGTGTACCTTATCTTACGTGTCAGGTGAGTGCAGGTGTTTCAGACAGGGCTCTCATGGGGACCGGGGAATGATAATTAGATCTACTCCAGGAAATCGCAAACTTTTATCAACTGCAGTTGCGCCTCCCTCAGCGCAGTGTGATTTCACAGTAATGTTAGACAGAATGTAGTGTCAACCAGTGCAGGATTGTTATAATCATACTCTAGACATCCCATTAATCCCCAAAACTCTTTCTGGCGGATTTCATTGAAGTGTTATAACTCAATACTGCTCTCTCGCTTTTACCTAAAGCTGGTTACTGAAACCTGAAACTTATTTTTATTCATTCTGAAATGTTCTGGCCACTTTATCAAATGACCATACAGTTCAAGACAGAATTTAATAGTCTGGAAAACTGAATTTGTACCAATGAATAATAACTTAAAAGGAACTGCACTGAGGTCTAATGTGGTGTTCAATGCAAAGACGTGTTCTTCAAGACTCTGGAGACCTAATCTCAGAATTACCGACGAGATGACTGAAGTCCACATCCAGTCGCTCCCTGTAGGCGAAATCAGGGTCCATCCCACTGCGGTGGAGGACGATCTGGGACACACACTCCTCGATCACCTTGTAATACTGAGGCCTGTAATAAAAAGGAGTACAGCGAGAGTGAGGGGGCAGAGTATGACAAGAAACAAAGCCGTTAACTTCATATAAAATACCGCCTCGTGCATTCCTGCGAGGACAGCTCTTCATAAATCATCTGGTAAGACATATCTTTTAATGGTATTTCACAGCATTGAATTAAGGCTCCTTCTTTCGGTACATAATGAAATCATTAACGGTAAAATGTGCAGCCGGAGATCGCTTGGGTGACTTTGTCCATTCAAGGTGAAGACAAACCAACATACGGGCCTCCATGCTTCCCTCTCTAATTTGCAATCATCTTTGGCAATTAAGGGCAGCAATAAAACCTGAGACGCAAATCTAATCACTGTAATCTGTGTAATTAGTTGCACAATGACAGGGAAAACACGGCCTTGTGTTTGGAGGGGTGACAATGATGGGACGGGGAGTAAATGGGTTTGGGACTAGACACTGCCACTGCGCTTAGTGTGTGACCTTTTCTAAGTTATATTACCAAATTTAATTGCGAGTGACATTTAACAAATACAACGTCGACTTAAGCCGAGCTCCATAGTGGCAAATAATTATGTTCCAAGCATGACCTTGAATGTCTCATGTAGGTACTCAATTTTCCTCCCAGAAATGTGTTGTCCGCTTCTTCCAGCTTCTCCACACAAAACAAGCTTTTGAATTCTAATGAACGAGCATGACTTTAAAAATGTCTCTGTGCTAAATAATTGCACCACAACTCATAGCTAAAGCCACTTAATTCTAGAGCATTAAATGTTTTAATCTACAAACATTCTTGTTTGATAAACAATATTTGCGGGGGAATATAGATAAGCTAATGGATGAACAGCAGAGTTTTTTGACCCAAAGTAATGAACTACACAACAGGGGTGTATTTGCACTTATGTTTTCTTATGATCCATATTTCAGTTTTATTTGCTGCTCTTATGGTTTGTGTGCTGCAAATAAGAAAAATTAAGATGTCCCCTAAATTCAGCCACAGAAGGTGGCACATTTAATATTTTAGGTAATAATACACAAACAAATAATAAAACAATAATAAATAAATAAATAATATGCAAGCATTCAGATGCTCTCTTATCATTGCTGTTAGTATTAAAGGGTTAGTTCACCAAAAAAATTACTCATTAATTACTCACCCTCATGTCGTTCCAAACCCGTAAGACCTTCGTTCATCTTCAGAACACAAATGAAGATATTTTTGGTGAAATCTGAGAGCATTCTGACCCTGCATAGACATCAATGCAACTGAAACATTCCCAGGCCCAGAAACATAGTAAGGACATTGTTAAAATAATCATAACGTAATGTTATGAAGCTACGAGAAGACTTTTTGTGTGAAAAAGAAAGCAAAAAAATAATGACTTCAACTATTCAACTATTTCTTCTCTTCCTTGTCAGTCTCTGCCGCCATTCACGAGAGTACCACAATGCATGCATGTGATGCTGCTGAGGCAGGAGCCAGCAAAGAAATTGTTGAATAAAGTCATTATCTTTGTTTCCGTAATGTTGCTTCATAACATTACGATTGAACCACTGGTGTCACATGTCCTTACAACGTTTCTGGGCCTGGGAACGTTTCAGTTGCATTGCTGTCTATACAGGGTCAGAAAGCTCTCAGATTTCACCAAAAATATCTTAATTTGTGTTCAGAAGATGAACGAAGGTCTTACGGGTTTGGAACGACATGAGGGTGAGTAATTAATGACACAATTTTCATATTTGGGTGAACTAACCCTTTAACTAAAACTGTAATTATTAAAAAAAAAGCGTTTTCGTAAACTGAAATAAAGCCAAAATAAAATGTAAATACTAGATGGAAAAAATAAATAAATAAAATAATAATAATAATAATAATAATAATATATATATATATATATATATATATATATATATAATTTTACTTCAGTTAGTTGCAAAGGCAACAAATGTTTATACAATATACAATTTAAGACATTAACTATAATTGGATGTCTCTCCAAGCTCAGTGGCAAATAACATACTCAACCAAACAAATAATCATATTCATACACTT